TTAAAGTTTTTCTTATTTATTCTGGAACAAGTCTCCTTACTAAATTATCTTTCTCTTTTTTCCCTTCTTTTTATCATGTCATAGAAGTTTCCTCCTCTTTTTTTGTTTATTAAGCTCCTTTCTCTTTCTCTCTTTTTTTCCTAATTCGAAAAGGTTGTTATATGTTGCCAGAAGACTTTCTAGCAGCTATTGAAATGCTATGTTTCCTTTTGATCTAGTATTTTGATGCATTGTATATGATGAATGATATAACTGTTCTTAGTATTTAGCCAGCCTATCCTGTGGTCACGGTGTATTATTCTTTTGACGTACTTCTGGACTTCATTTATGTACAAAGCTATCTGAATTCTAAATGTCTGTTCCCTCTTAGTACTATTTCCACTCTTGGTGAGTTTCTGAGCTACTGTCCCTCTCTCCCTTCCTCCTCCTCTCCTGCTCAGCTGAAGGTGCTCAGTTTCAGGAGAGGGACCTCAGCTGTCATTGCAAATCTCCAGCCAGCTGGGTGTTTGCCAGGGACAGGACGCCAAGGGCACAAGATAGCACTGGAGATGCACAAAGGGAAAATTGCAGAATTCTCTTAGGGATGACACCAGATGGCCACTGGTTGTCAAGGAGACTTCAAGAACCATCTGAGTTGGGGCGGGTGAGACCCTGGGCACAGGAGATGGTTTCTAAGCCACTCCAATGCTTGCTATGCTGAGGGGGTATGCATGTGCTGGCCCAGAAAGCCCTTTACTGCAGAGTTCAGTCTCTCCTTTACAGAGTTCAAAAACAATGACTACAGAATATAAACATTATTTTAGGAAAGCAGGTGGAAGCATTGCTCCATTTAGGAGCTCCCCCCTGGAGAACCCTCATGTCTATTTGGCTGAGGCCCGGACTGACTTGAGAGAAAAAGAACATTTTGGAAGCTGCTGCCGTCCGGGTAAGGTGGACCTCGGTGTATAAATAAACCTCGGCCTAGCTGATCATGAATATGCATTATTTATGCAAAGCAGCGTTTGGGTATTAATGTCCAGTTATCAGCTGGCTCACTCATGCCCCCGCTGGGATGCCCATAAGGGTTCTTGCTGTTTGTCTGGGAAAGCATCGCAGCTCATGGGATCCACCTTTGCCCTTGAGGTACAGAGGAATCTGCCCTTCCAGCGGGAGGGCCCGTGTAGTCAACCTGGCTGTCCTGCGGAACAAATGATCGGTGACATACGAGGCAGAGCTCTTTAAATCAGGGAATAATGTAAACACGAAGCCTTATTCATGGGCACTGGCCTGTGTGCCCTGTGTGTGGCTCAGGGATCGCAGATTTTCTCTGTAAGGGCCAGCCAGGGTCTTTGGTTGGCTGTGTCGAAAGAAGCAGTATTCCCCAATGCTGTACCCACCCACACCACCCTGATTTGTAAAAGCCATTCTTTTTTTTTTTAATTGCATTTTAGGTTTTGGGGTACCTGTGCAGAACATGCAAGATAGTTGCATAGGTACACACGTGGCAGTGTGATTTGCTGCCTTCCTCCCCTTCACCCACATCTGGCATTTCTCCCCATGCTATCCGTCCACAACTCCCCGCCCCCTGCTGTCCCTCCCCTATTCCCCCCAATAGACCCTAGTGTGTAGTGCTCCCCTCCCTGTATCCATGTGTTCTCATTGTTCATCACCCGCCTATGAGTGAGAACATGCGGTATTTCATTTTCTGTTCTTGTGTCAGTTTGCTGAGAATGATGTTTTTCCAGATTCATCCATGTCCCTACAAAGGACACAAACTCATTGTTTTTGATTGCTGCATAATATTCCATGGTGTATATGTGCCACATTTTCCCAGTCCAGTCTATTATCGATGGGCATTTCGGTTGTTTCCAGGTCTTTGCTATTGTAAACAGTGCTGCAATGAACATTCTTGTGCATGTGTCCTTATAGTAGAACGATTTATGGTCCTTTGGACATTCTTAGCTCTGTACATTCTTAGCTCTGTACGGGCTGTACAAAAACCGGTGGGGGGCTTGGCCCCCAAGTTGCAGTGTTCTAATCCCTACTTTGGATGATCTAGAAGATATGTATTTCCTTGACTCTGAGTGGCTACTTTTTGGTATATAGGAAGGATATTAAAGTTTTCCTTATTTATTCTGGAATAAGTCTCCTCATTAAATTATCTTTCTCTTTTTTTTTGCACTTAAGCCGTGGTGCAATAAATCTCTTCTTACTTGGACTCTTCTGGGCTGCGTTTCCACGCTGAGCTCTCTGAGGAAGAGGAGAGGCCCACTTGCCAGAGAGAGTGCCTTCCTCGCTCTGAGCACCCTGGAAGCTTCTCCTTTCCATAGGACTTATGACTTCCTTCTGAATAATACCTCAGAAAACAGCATCAATGCGTGAAAATGGATGCAGTTGTTGTGATTTTTTTCTTAGCTGTTAGAGTTTTGGGAAGTCAGTATAATCCATTTTTGACTAGATATATAGTCAAAGTTTTCTATTTCTTTTTTTGAAATAGAGCATCTATTTCTTTTTTGAAATACAACATTGCTTAAAACGTTTCATGTTCATCGCTTCTTATTTTTAGGTTAAATTTCCAAAATTCTAAGATTTCAAGTTGCCTCCAAGGACAATATTTTGAACGGTAATAGTTGTTCTGGCCCACGTCATAAACTGTGTTCTCTGGCCACTTCTCAGCCTGGACTTCTTTACTCTGGGGCTGTTGCAGGCACACCTGTCTCGTCACAGCAGCAGAAGCATGCAGCGCATGTTGTAGGCAACAGAACCACCTGGGACTAGGGAGGGTGGATAATGATGCTTGTATTAGCTTCAGAGCAACCTGACCTACATTTGGAAGAAATGCCAGGCTGGCTGCTGGATTCGATCTGTGGCACTACAATACATCCCAGTCATGGATGCTTTTCCCCTAAGCAATTTACCACTCAGGGCTGATGAGAGGATCAGTCGAGTAACCATTTTACATGCCTAGTGTAGGAGCTTATGTATAGGAGGTGTTCAATAAACATGAATCCTTTCCCTTTAAAGATCTCACCCTGTTCAAGAGGCACTTGCTACAAGTCTGCCTTCCACCTTCCACAGGATCCGGGCCCTAGTGTACATTGCAGAGGTGTACCATTCATCATTAAACACCAAAATAAACAAAGGTAAACTTTAAGCAGAGCCATAACCATGGTGTTATGCATAGGCATCTGATATTTTATAGTGTTTGGTGTAGGTGTCTGATTTTTTTTCTTTTTTTCTTTTTTTTTTGAGATGGAGTTTTGCTCTTGTTACCCAGGCTGGAGTGCAATGGCGCGATCTTGGCTCACTGCAACCTCCGCCTCCTGGGTTCAGGCAATTCTCCTGCCTCAGCCTCCTGAGTAGCTGAGGTGTCTGATTTTTTTTTTTTTTAGCTTAAGATATTTAAGTCTAATGTAATAAAATGTAATGTATTAAGGGGCAAGAATGAGGCCTCACAACACATGTAATAGATTTTTCTTCCTGGTCTCCTCACTGAGGATGTTCCCCAGAATTTGGAGAATTTGATGCTCCTCCCATCAGGATTTGCTTATAGCCTTCGCATGGTTCATTGCAGCTTCTTTGGCTCTTGAAGGGATGATTTGATATTAGCAATAAAAATGTCTCGGGTGGTTGAACTTCACAAATTGTAATATACTTTGTAGTTATCTAAAATGCTAAGGTAGCGAGTCACCCAATAAAAACCTTTTGAAATGAAGCACATCTCAAACCCCTTTTTTGAAACTGAGCATTGCTTAAAACATTTCCCGCTCCCTTCTGTGAGGGGGTATCGTGTGGCAGTGAAGCAAGTAGACGTGGGGCTGGATTGCGGAGTCCAAATCCCGGATTCAACACTTCCTAACTGGGGGACTCAGACAATTTACTTACTTTTGTTGTGTCTCCATTTTGTGATCTGTTCATTAGGTGATAATAGACATTTTAGATAATAGACAGACATCAGAGAGTTGTCTGTAGACTAAGGCAATTAATTTGAGCAAACTGCCTAAAACAGTGGTATATAATAAATGTTAGCTGTTTTATAATTTGGCTTTAATTTATAACAGAAAAATCACTGGTATTATCAGTTTTGGAGTAGGACACAAAATAAACACTTTAATAATTATGGAAGTAATTCATACTCATTGCACCATGCTGGAAAGCAAATGGAAAAGAATGAATAAACAGCACCCAAGATGTGATGCCCGAGGTGACCGCCATACCTGGTTGATCTATTTCTTTGTGAATTGAGATTTGCATAGTGAAGCCATATCGTAAGTACAAGCTTGAGCCTAATTATTTTCATATAACATGTATGATAAGCATTTCTGCAAAGTATAACAATTATTCATAATTTTAATAGCTGCATAATGTAACCATATTGATTAACCGTAACGTGTGACACATTTTCTTAGTGATGAATGTTCAGTTTCTTTCTTTCTCTTTGAGTAGGGGTGGGAAGAGCTGTTACCTATGGTGCTAGTGGCCAACAGACATGTATATGTATTCATTTACATATGTGCTTTTTCTTAGTATTTCCTTATTCTTAGGGGAAACTCCCAGGAGTAAAGTCACTGGGTCAAAGGGATGAGCGTTCTTAAGGCTCTTGAGAAACACTAACAAGCTGCTTTCTTGCCAGGCTGTTCACACTTAGACATGGATGACGGCCGCCATGCTAGTCCTAAGAGTGTTGATATTTTGGACCACTTTGTATCTAACATCATAAGAAATAAACAAAAAAAGAATCATTGAAAGATCTTGAAATAAAATAATATTAAAGTTTGTTGAGCACTTTTTTTGTGATTAAAAAAAAAAACCCACCAAAAGCCAGACATACTTTTGGCCCAGCATGAATTGAAGATCACTTTGACTTGCTGCTGAGTTGTTTTGGCTCTTGTATCGGTCTGGATTCTTCTCTCCTGTCTGGACTTCAGCTATTGCAGTAATAGCCACTGTTGCCATACTTGGCCACTTAGCGATGAGGCATGCGGAATGCTAAGTCTTGGCTTTCTCTCTTCCCTCACCAGCTACACGGTGGGCACCGTCCAGGAGAACAATGACCAGGTCTGGAAGTTCCAGAGGTACTTCCTGGTGCAGGAGTACTGCAGCCGCCTCAATATCCCCTTCCCCTTTGTCGTCTTCGCTTACTTCTACATGGTGGTGAAGAAGTGCTTCAAGTGTTGCTGCAAGGAGAAAAACGTGGAGTCTTCTGTCTGCTGTGAGTGGTTTGTCCATGTGTGCTCGGGATCAGAAGCAGTGATTAATTTCAGGGAAGGATGCCTGGTCTGTATCTCAACAGGAAGGAATTATTCACAGTTATTCCACTGTTCACATCTGTACATCTGTAAAGATCAGGCATCAGGCCAACTAATGAATTGCCCTAGAGGAATTGTAGATAAAGAAAGCCTGTAGATCTGCTGGGATATTCTGATTTGCGGGGAATGAATGACGTTTGGACAAATGATGTAATAATAATGTAAATAGTATGCTGAACAGGCAGAATTCATGGGATAGGGTCCAATCATGACTTTTGCTTTTGCTTTTCCTTGTTCCCATGAAATTCATTCTCTAGGAACCTTTAAACCTGATTCCAGGAGGGTTTGTGATTCTGCTTAGGAACAGAAAATCTTACAATTGTTTTACTTGAGAAAACATTGTCTCAGTTTAGAAATAGGAATGTGCAGTTCAGTGTATTAACCAGCCTATTAATTGCTATTCAGAGGTGAGACTCCCCTCCCCCTTACCTCTCCCAGCTGGTGGAGCTGCCAGGAAGGATGGGCAGTGGGCTGTCCCCTCTCCTGGTGCCTCCCTTCTCTCTGCGGGGACTGACTCTCGCAGCTGGAGCACAGAGAGACAGGATGGGAAGGGGAGCCGAAAGCCCCTTCTTAGCGATGCTATTCTGGGCTTCTCCATGTCCCCTGGCCTGGCACATGTTTGAAACTGATCCTGATTGTGTGGGCACAAAAGGGTCCTTCAGAGAGTCCTTGGTTGTCCCTTCTGACTCCAACTCCTAGGACTTGGCTTTCTCTGATGGCTGTCCCCCACCCCAGCCTCTGGTTTCCAGAGGTCCACCCCACACATTCCACATACCAACCTCCTCAGGAAGGCAGGTGTCAACCCATCCACACATTGGACTATGGATCATTCTCTCTCTTGTGTGGTCACCTGCCTTCTTAGCCCTCACAAACTGGGGCACTCAGCTGCTTCTCCCTACCCCAGAAATGGAGCAGCTATCGCCATATGTCCTTCGAAGGAAGGGAACTGGCACCCAGCTGTCTTTCTGGGCCTGTAGGAACCCACACCAGGCTTGCGTTTCTCCCAGAGCCAATAAGCCAGACCGTCTTTCTGGCTCCCAGTTACACCTCAACCAGATTAAGCATGCAGGGAGGAAGGGGCCTGTTTTTATCTTTCTGGATGTTTGGACACAAAAGAGAAGATAGAATGGGTACCCTGGGCCTTTTTCCTCACCCCTTAACCTCAGATCTAACCCAAGAATCCATCTCTGGGGTGGGGAGGCAGCTGTGGGGCCAGCTCCTCCATCAGGCACAGTGCCAGGGCCCACAGGACCTCAAGGGCTCCTGAACATCTTCAAATTTTCTTTAAAAATGAGAAGAAAAAAATGAGCTTTTAGATTAAAGAAAGTGTTCTAATATATATTAATCTATTTGTTTTATGCCAACTAAGTCATAAAATATTTTTAATATATTTTTCTGAAGGATGGGACTCAGGATGGCAAATGTGCCTAGGGCCTAGGGTGACCATCTCATTGTGGTCTGCCCAGGACTTCCTCATCTTAGTACTGAGAGTCCTGCATCCTGGTATCCAGTTAGGGTGAGCAGCCTGCACCCATCCAGTTAGGGTGCCAGCTTGTGCCCATTCATTTAGAGTGCCAGTTTGTGCCCATCCAGTTAGGGTGAGTGGCCTGTGCCCATCCAGTTAGGGTGAGTGGCCTGTGCCCATCCAGTTAGGGTGAGCAGCCTCTGCCTATGCAGTTAGGGTGAGTAGCCTGCACCCATCCAGTTAGGGTGCCAGCTTGTGCCCATTCATTTAGAGTGCCAGTTTGTGCCCATCCAGTTAGGGTGAGTGGCCTGTGCCCATCCAGTTAGGGTGAGCAGCCTGTGCCCATCCAGTTAGGGTGAGCAGTTTGTGCCCATTTTCCCAGGACTATCCCAATTGTAACAGAAATGTCTGTCTTCTGGGAACCTCCTTGGTTTCAGGGACTGCTGGTCACCCTTCTAGTCTTAACGAGGCCCTGTGTGCTGGCAAGTGTTGCAGAGTTAATGACTCAGGTTGGACCACGCTTTGGTACCTTCACAATTTTCATTTTCGGTTTCCTTCTAATGAAAAAAAAAAAAAAAAAAAGGAGGGCCATTTTGGGTCTCTAAATGGATCAGTTATATATTATTGTCACTTTGAATCTTGGTGACCTGAAACACCCACCATTTATTTGCCCATGATCCTGTGGGTCCCTCCTGGTGCAGGGTGGGGCAGGGCTGTGCTGTGCTGTGCTGTGCCCAAGCTGGCTGCCCTTGCCCCTTGAGGAGCTAGTTGGGACTGCAGGTGCCTGCCACCATGCCTGCCTAGTTTTGTATTTTTAGTAGAGATGGGGGGTTCACTATGTTGGCCAGGTTGGTCTTGAACTCCTGATCTCAGGTGATCTGCCGGCTTCAACCTCCCAAAGTGCTGGGATTAAAGGCATGAGCCACCACACCTGTACCTATGTGGATGTTTTAATAATACATAAACATGGCTCCAGAAAATAACCTTTGTCAATTTGGAATTGAAATGGGTTCCTTGATATTTATAATTATTCAGTTATCTTGTTACCATAGGGGGGAAAATATATTTTTCTCTACCCATCTTAGGCTCACGGCTAAGATTCCTATAGCAAAAGACAGAGTAACAAGAGGAAAGCATAGAAATTTATTATAAGTTTTATGTGACATAGGAGCCTTCATAAGGAAAGGAAGATCCAAAGAGACACCTTTTTTTTTTTTTGAAATGGAGTCTTGCTTTGTCCTCCAGGCTAGAGTGCAGTGGTGCAATCTTGGCTCACTGAATCTTCTGCCTCCTGAGTTCAAGCGATTCCCATGCCTCAGCCTTCCGAGTAGCTGGGATGACAGGTGTGCACCAACACGCCAGGCTAATTTTTTTTATTTTTAGTAAAGATAGGGTTTCCCCTTGTTGGCCAGGCTGGTCTCAAACTCTTGACTTCAAGTGATCTGCCCACCTCAGCCTCCTGATATTCTGGGATTACAGGCATTAGTTACTGTTCCCAGCCAAATTTGAGCATTTTTAAATAGTAGGTTTATTGGAGAGTGGAGGGTTGTAGAGAAATAGGATAGGGCAAACAGAGTATGATCCCATGGTAATAAACTGGGAAACTTAGCAAGGCCCATGGATTCACATTTCCTTCTGCATCCCTGTGTCTCTGGAGATGAGGACACTCTTTTCCTCTCGGTATAAGGAGGGTGCCTCTCACATAAGGGTCCTGTGACCTGCTGTAGGGGAAAGTCAGAAAATTTTTCCTAGGTGATATGACCTGCTTCAGGGGAGAGGGTCAGGGAAAAGCCAGATCAGAGAGACCTTCCCAATTCTATGCTTTTCTCCAATTCTTTCAGTTTAAAATATTCAATATGCCATGGTGCCATATGTTGGGGTAGTGTGTCCTAAACCCTATCATCACTTGTATTCTGGATGGCCCCCAGAAACCAGTAAAAAGTTCTCATAAAATGTCTAAGTAGGGGAATAAAAGAGAGGAACATCACTGAGTTCTTGTAAATTTCAAAAGCAAAAGCCTACCAACCTCATTTCCTGCCACAGTCCACTTTGGTAGAGTTTTGTAAAACACACCCCACACTACCCACAGATCTAAATTGGAAAACTGAGTGAGCACAAGGATGGGTGGAAATTGTGCATAGGCAAGAAAAGGACAGCATGAAAAGAGCATCTCCCCCCGCCACCCTTAGCACCTATAAAAATAAATAGTGTAAAAGCAATCCTCTTGCAGGAGTGGGGTCAGGCTTGCACAAACGTGAACTCTCAGTTCTGGGGATGCTGCCGTGAACAAAGGCACATGGGCTGGGCTTGCGGGCCATGATTCAGTGGGAGCTGGTCCAGCGGTGAGGTAGATAACTTCACAGAGAGCCTGTGATGCAGGGAGTGAGGGGGCCTGGGAGAGCTGGTTCAACAAATGCGTGCCAAGAGCTTACCACAGGATAGTGGGCCCTGTGGATATGGTGCTAAATAAGATAGAAGCTATCTGTGCCCTTGAACAGGGCTCATCATCTGGGGTAGTGGGGAGTAGAGAATGAAGGTCGAAAAGCCTTAATTAAAAAGTGTGGGAGACAGTAATTTTAGGGAATGTGCAGGGGGTTGTGATGGCCACATAGAGGACATTTAAAGCCTTGACTAGAGTGCATCAGGGAAGATTTATGGAGGAAGGGAATACTCAAGCTGAGACCCAAAAGATGAATTGGAATTAGACAGGAAAAGGGACAGAGGCTGAGACGGTGCCACAGAGCGAGGAGTGGGTGGAGGGAGGAGGGAGTTAAGAGAGGTAGGAGGACAGGAGAGAGGAGTCCTTGGGACTGAGGATTGTAGGAGATGAATGTAAGGCTTGGGCTCTATCCTACAGGCACGTTTTGGCTCCATACAGTCCACCTCCTCCTCCCCCTGCTCCCAGCCCGCCAAGTTGCAATGTGCCATCCTGAATCCCAGAGGAAGGAAAAAACGTAGACAAGTGACGTGACAGTGCAAGAAATGGTGACGTGAATCATGAAACATACTTCATGATACCTCTTTGATGATTGGACTTGTTTCCCTCAAGGCAGAAGTGAGCAAAGAAACTCCCAGGGCCGGTTTGGGGAGACTCACAGATCACCACGTGGAATTAGGCTTCTCAGATTCTGATGCTCACTCCTGTGACTCAGGGGGAAGATGCTGGAGAAGGGGAGGGTGGTGAGATGTGACCCCCCCCCAACCTGGAACACTACTGAAAAAAGAAAAGTCACTGTTAGATAGGAAATTTGGAGTCAAGGGCAATTTGGAAAACCTAAGGACAAATTCAGTACACATGACTGAAGGAATAGGTGGTTCTTCTCTCTGCTTTTTGAATCATCTTTCTACTGTCCACAGGTGTGTCTTCCAATGGCTGCTGGACAGGTGTTGCCCTCTGTTTTTATCTTCAGGGTATTTGATAAAATGGTCACTAACTGCCACCACTGGATTCATGTTCCATAGGGGGCTGATTTTGCCTATAGGCCTTCAGCGTAATCTCAAAAATTTTGAAGATTCAGAAAGTAAAAATATAAATTTTGCTAACCTAGACATGGTAATTGGTGGCAATTAAGAAACATTTAACTTGCCAAGAACCATCTTTTCTTGTGGGGTTCTTTACTTACACATGGAGACTAAGTACTCATAAATACTACTTTAAATATTGATCATAACATATTTCTGTGCTCTCCCTATAGCTATGAGCCCAAAGTCTGGCTTTCAGAATATAAATGTATTCACAACCCCCAACTCCTGCCACACCTTAAAGAATCATCATAGTCAACTCTTTTAACAGCATTATTTTAAGATGTTAAATGTCACTTTGGGGATGTCATTAACGATCACACCTGTGTAATTGCCGTTCTTAATGAAGAAAGTGTTTTGACAATTAGGGTAAGTTGCTGTCTTTCTTCCCATCGCTTTGCCTTCAAAGACAAAGTGAGTTGATTCTAACTAAAAGCACAAAAGTCTTTATATCAGGCATAGGATTTGGAAGTTCAGATCTGGAATTTGACTGTACTCAAAAATGGCACCCAAGTACTAGAAACACTTAGTGACATGCCTCAGGACTCTCTTTGGTTCTGTCTTGAAGCCATGGCTACAGGACCTGGAAGAAGGCTTAGGGGGCCATTCTGTGCCTTCATGTAACAGAAGCCCTACAAGCATCATGCTTCTTTCTGAATGATTCAGGGAAGAAACAAGCCATGCCTAAAAGTTGCAGTGAGGAAGATTTTGATTCAGTAGAAAGAACAATGTCGAACAGTGTGGGCTGTCTGGAAATGAGATTAATTGCTCTGTGAAATTAGTTAACTGCCCATCACGAATGGGATTCAGGTTGGAGTGTGTGGGAGGAGGGGCTGAGGCTGTGTGGGATAAAGGTCCATTCTCCGAAGATACACTGTACTCGGTCCAGGACCAGGGGAATCAGGAAATTCAGTGTCTAAGGAAGGACAAATCAGCACCCCAGACTAGGGATGGGGTTGAGAAGGCAGGGCAAAATCCATTACATTCCCCTAACACTTTTATTTTTTATTTATTTATTTTTTAATTGCATTTTAGGTTTTGGGGTACATGTGCAGAACATGCAAGATAGTTGCATAGGTATACACATGGCAGTGTGTTTTGCCACCTTCCTCCCCTTCACCCACATTTGGCATTTCTCCCCATGCTATCCCTCCCCTGCTCCCCCCCACTGTCCCTCCCCTATTCCCCCCAATAGACCCCAGTGTGTAGCACTCCCTTCCCTGTGACCATGTGTCCTCATTTTTCATCACCCGCCTATGAGTGAGAACATGTGGTATTTCATTTTCTGTTCTTGTGTCAGTTTGCTGAGAATGATGTTCTCCAGATTCATCCACGTCCCTACAAAAGACACGAACTCATCATTTTTGATTGCTGCATAATATTCTATGGTGTATATGTGCCACATTTTCCCAGTCTAGTCTATCATCGATGGGCATTTGGGTGTGTTCCAGGTCTTTGCTATTGTAAACAGTGCTGCAATGAACATTCGTGTGCATGTGTCCTTATAGTAGAACGATTTATAGTCCTTTGGATATATACCCAGTAATGGGATTGCTGGGTCAAATGGAATTTCTATTTCTAGGTCCTTGAGGAATCACCACACTGTCTTCCACAGTGGTTGAACTAATTTACACTCCCACCAACAGTGTAAAAGTGTTCCTATTTCTCTACATTCCCCTAAAACTTATTTAATGATTAAGCACAATATGAACATAAAATGGAAGCAAATCCCCCAATTTAGTCAGCAAATGAAAAGGGGCTTCAACCCAAGGAGGCCACCAGATAAATCAGATGTGAATGAATGAATTGGGACCTGTCTCCCAAGTGGGCCCCTGGGGGGTGACAATCTCATAATAATCAGAGAAATGGTGTAACTGTTGACATTATCCCTCTTCGGACAGTCTTTATTCTCAGGAATAAATGAAGAAACAGCGAGATTAGGAGATGGCAGAAGGACAGGATCTGTCTCCACCCTTGGGTGGTGTGGTGGTAATGGGACAGAGAGAGCCAAGAGCCTCACTTACTAACTGCGGACTCTCCAGGGTGCCTGGTCACTGCCTGCTCATTTGCTTCTCCTCCTTGGAGATGACTAATGCCTGAAACCACAGCACTCGGCGGTTGCCAGAGCCTCTAGTTGGCAATTCATTTCCTAAATGTGCTTTGCTTTGCTTCCAAACGATGGGGACGTCATGGGTTTAATTTTGGCATTGTTCTTCTTTGGAGGAAAAAAATGCAGGATTTTTCAAATGACTTTCAGAAAAATAGAATCCAAAGTTTCACTTTTGATACTTTTTTGGTGACATCTTTAAGCGATAAAAAAGTATACTATCCACTAATTGCTTTTTCATAAAATGTATTATTTTTGTATGATTTGGAAAGCAACCCATATTCATAATAGGACATTTGGAAAATATAGAAAAGCGCAAATAAAGATTAAGAGCATGTAATATACATGTAACCCACCATCCACAGGTAAATATTGTCAACACACTGGTATTCTATCATTCTCGTGTGGGTACATAGTAATTGGATTGCTCTATGCACACACATTCATAATCTAACTTGTTTGCTTAACTAATAATACATTGCAAACTTTTTCCGTATCCACAAGTAACAATCCAATCTATATGACAACCTTCAACTGTGGAGTAGTCTTTCAGCTTATGGATGCACCATGATTAATCAGCTCCTTATTAAACATGTAGATTGCTTTTGTTAGCATATAATGCTATAAGAGTTCTCTGCATTCGTTTTTGAGCACATTAATACTTTTTTCCTTTGACTTATTTCTAAAGAGAAATTTCTCAATAAAGGATATGCCCTTCTGAAGTCTTTGTATATTGCCTGTTCCCCCTCCTCCACCTTCTGGTCCCCATTATCCTAAGGCAGCAACAACTGCTAGATTTTCCCCATGGTATGGGAGGCCTGCTCTCTACGTTCTTGCCAACACAGGATACAATCTTTATTTTATTGCTAATTTTCCAGTATGGTTAGTGAAAATGCTATGCCATCATTTCAATCAGCATTTCTTTGACTGTTACAGAGGTTGGTCATTTTTTATTTTATTTTTTTGGTCATTTGTCATCCTCGCTCTCTGACTATCTGTGTCCAGGAGTGTCTACCCTTTCCATGCTGATTTTTAAGCACTCCTTTTGAACTCCCTCATTGATTTTGTTTGAAGAAAGGACATTGAAACTTTTTTTGTTGGGAAAAATACATTTAAAAAAATTAATTAAGAATTATTTTGTAAAGTGAATAACCACACTTAAAAATAAATCCATATTTGCTATGTAGAATTTGCTTAAATCTAGGCTGGGCATGGTGTCTTAAGCCTGCAATCCCAGAATTTGGGAGGCCAAGGCAGGCAGACCACTTGAGGTCAGGAGTTTGAGACCAGCCTGGCCAGCATGATGAAACCCCATGTCTACTAAAAATACAAAAGTTAGCTGGGTGTGGTGGTATGCACCTGTAGTCCCAGGTACTCAGGAGGCTGAGGCAGGAGAATTGTTTGAACCTAGGAGGCGGAGGTTGCAGTGAACCTAGATTGTGCTACTGCACTCCAGCCTGGGCGACAAAAGCAAAACTCCATTTCCACCAAAAAAAAAAAAAAAAAAAAAAAAAAAAAGAAAGAAGAACAAAAGAAAAAAGAATTTGCTTAAATTCAGCCATGTGGGTATTGGTTCTGTCTTTGACCCCCAATTAATTCTTTTTAAATCCAGAAAAATCTTATAATTATTTCTAAACTCTAACATGTTGATGAATACATTTAAATGGCAACTCAAAAGTTAAAAACTACATACATTTATTCCAAGCGGACACCTGTGTGAGCATATGTACTCTCCTATCCCTGTGAATTTGCATGGAGATTTGATGTCCATTGCATTCGTACCTGAAATATAGGTGACATGTGGATCTGTTCTTTTTTTCCCCCTGTCATCCGAAAGGCTCAGGCACCATGATAAATTGAACTAAGACTCTTAGTGGAATATGCCCCAGACCAGTCTTACGGCATGCCCCATCTTAGGTGAATTCTCTTCGAGGGCCACATCTCATGTTTCAGAAGGACAGCAACTATGTCTTGGGCTTATTTTCCTCTCCTACAGAGCTTCTACCCCAGTTTTAGGGTAAGAGTAAGTATACAATTTATCAGCAATTATCCAGCTGAATGGTTTTGCATTTTTATGTCATCAAGACGGAAGAAGAGCACATATCAAATGTGAGAACTAATTTCATTAGTGGAATGATTTTGCTAAGTCGCAAAACACACAGATAGGATTTGGATCGATGTCTATTTAGAATAAAGATTGCATTCCCATTTCACGCAGGCAGCTCCAATTCCTCACTGTTACGGAGAAAGCCATGACTATTCCATCACTCGGATGCTGCCACCAGGAAGCAACATTAGTCAGACCAGCCTGTGCAGGACGAATCACATTCTGAGTTCCAGAGTCTCACAAAATGCCTAGAGGATCCTAATTTAGGAAGCAAGGGGAAAATGAAACAATTTGAATGTTTTCTTTTTCTCATTATTCAAGGTTTCAAAAATGAGGACAACGAGACTCTGGCGTGGGAGGGTGTCATGAAGGAAAATTACCTTGTCAAGATCAACACGAAAGCCAACGACACTTCAGAGGAGTATGTCAGACACCCCTGGCTGCTTTGCAAGGGTCCCTTTGTAGGCATAAGCCCAAGGAACGTAGGCAGCTTATTTGAGCAAACTCAGTAAAGAGCATTTTCAACAAAGAGCAATACCACCACAAAGATATTACCCAGGCAATTAAAAATGACAAACACATTAGTGTGTGCCAGCCTTTGGAGAAGGGAAAAAAGGCCACCCACCTACTATCCCAATTGTCCTTGAAGGCCCTGGGGAGAAAGAGGTATTTGGAGCCTGCGGTGCAGGGCTGTGGAAATAGGTGATGAGAGCGTGGGTGCCCTGCTGCAGCTGCAGAGGTGGGCTCTGGTAAGACTCCCAGGTCATGGGCCATTGGCGTTATCTTGCAAGTGCCACACACCTATTTGCCTTTGTGGTGAAGAAGTACAGAGATCAGAAGATAGATAAAACCATCTTGTTGCTCTGTTACAGGCTGCCCCTAAGAAAATCCTGAACTCATTTACGAATCTCATGAAGCTGTTATAAAAATCCTTGTGACTAATAAATACATTTATTAAGCATCTTATAGAAATAGATAAGTCATAGCTAAGTCTGTAGGTGGCTCACAAGCAATGTGGTCTATAGACGGTGCTCTTGTGTGAAGGTTGACGTTCTTCACTGACAGCTGTCACGCTTCCTGAGAGTTCAAAACACACCTCAGGTTTTCTCTAACAAAATATAAGTATGGAAAAGCACAACTAGTACCTTTGCTGGGTTCAATAGAGTTATTGAAAGAAGCATGGGATGCTCATTCTCTTTTTTTTTTTTTGAGACGGAGTTTCGCTCTTGTTACCCAGGCTGGAGTGCAATGGCGCGATCTCGGCTCACTGCAACCTCCGCCTCCTGGGATCAGGCAATTCTCCTGCCTCAGCCTCCTGAGTAGCTGGGATTACAGGCACGCGCCACCATGCCCAGCTAATTTTTTTGTATTTTTAGTAGAGACGGGGTTTCACCATGTTGACCAGGATGGTCTCGATCTCTTGACCTTGATCCACCCGCCTCGGCCTCCCAAAGTGCTGGGATTACAGGTGTGAGCCACCGCGCCCGGCCACTAATTCTCTTTTAACAACAGAGGTGGTGCCTTAAGCTCTCCTCTGTCCCTAGACTCTGAGATCTTGGTTTTGCAAGGGAAAGACAGCCCTTACAAGTCATTTTTCATCACCCCATCAACAGAGATAGCATTTATGTGCTGGGCTTCTAACTGTGATGTGAGAGGGTTCTGCTTTGTTTGGGTCGTAGGAAGAAAATCAGAAAGAAAGGTAAACGCAGCTGAGCTTTGATTTAGCTGAGAGCGAAAATGACTTGCCTTCTGTACTCTAAAAGACTGCAAAATGGAACCTAATAGCCCTCTCTCAATCTCTTTTTCTCTTGTTTTCTTTCTTTTCCTTTAACTTCCTTGCAGAATGAGGCATCGGTTTAGACAACTGGATACAAAGGTATGGTTCTGTTCATAGTTTGGATTTCTTTTTTGGTCACTAATATTTTTGAGCTTTCAGCTAGAGGCCAGTAGTTATGGTCAGAAAATAAAAGAAGTTACATTCAACTTTCTTAATTCACTGTCTAAGAGCTGGGTGCTGGAATGGAATTGCTTCTCATGCTCTAAGCATCTCCCAGGGAATAGTCTTGAAGTCCCATTTCCATGATGTCTAAAATCTTTTCTGTCTTGTCTGAGTCAGACCCTCTTCTCTTTGTTTCAGCTGCGGAGGGAACATAAAGAAGGCTCAAAGGAGCTTGCTGGGAGCCTGTGTGCCTGGATGCTAGTCTTTGCTGCCACTCAGATTTGTTGCCTGTTTTATTCGGAGGGCATTGCAAATGTGTGAGTAGGCATATGAACACCAGGCATAGACAGAGTGTCTGCCCTCACTCTGAGCTGGGTAGCTGAAATTATAATCAGGTTCAAATCACAATCGGAAATCACATTCCATTCACAAATGCTAGATTCCTGCCAGGCTCTGGAGAGGAGATGATATTTGGTATCCTACCACATTATTTTGAGAATGGCATCCTGGATGATGACATTCATAGACCTCCCAGTATCGTGGCTATTTGGTGGGTAGACAAGATCTCATCTGGTTCAGCAAAATCACCCAGTACCTTGTCCACGGTAGAGCCTTAATAAACGTTTATTGAATGAATAAATGAATGAAAGGAGTCCTTAGCTGAGCTCCCATATGAGAATTTGTCTCTTTACAGTTTCTTGTTTATTTATTTATGGGTTATTTACCCCCAACATGTAAAAAAAAATTAGGCAGTAGTGGCAGCTGTGAAGGCTGTAAGTCTAGAGAACCCTGGATTGTTCTAAGCAGCTGAAATGAGGGGCAGCATGAACGCCGAGTGGGAAGAAGAGGGGGGTCTGCCTGGGAACTTGCTTGCCTCTTTATAAAGTTGAGTTTTATTCCCATGCAAAGAAAGGTTTGGGGAGTTTTAAAACCCAAGAGGAACCTATCTGGAATCTTCCTTTCCAAGTGCTCCCTGAGTGACCCGAATGGTCATGGAGGAGAGGCTCCAGCAATCTGGTTGAGAAGTTAGTTGTGCTAAGAACTCTTTGAGGTGGTGTGTTTGTAGAGAAAATAGTCTATTTTAGTGTGTTTTGTTGTTTTGTTTTTTTATTGTGAGTTTATTTGGGGTGACTTTGGAGGGAGCCAATGCAAAGCCATCTCAGGGTTTAGGCCAAAGCCTCCCCAAGCCACACCTTGGTCCTGACCCTGCTGTGGGACAGGCAGAGAGTGGACAGAGGAGGGCAGCAACAGTGGATGCAGGTAGAGATGGACAGAGTGGGAGCCTTGGCTCTAGCCTGGGCCCTAGGTCAGAGGAGAAGCAGTAGAATTGTGGATACGGGACCAGCCAACCTGACTCCCAGGGTCCAGGATGCTCGCCAGCCTCAACCTCCACTGAGCAGCACAGAGCCTCGGCCGTCACGCAGGAGGGCCCATCGCCTCGCTCCCCTTCTCCCATTCTTCCTGCCCTCTGTCTCTCTCTCTCTCTTTAATTCCCTCCTCTGTCCTCTTACCCCCCCTCTGAACAACAAAAAAACCCTCCTTTTTACTCACATAGAATTTTAGGGATCATCGTCTGTTTCTCAAGAAAGCTTCTGGAGTCTTCTACATTTATTTTTTAACAGCTTTATTAAGATATGTCAATGGACATATAAAATTATATATATTTAACATGTATAATTTGATGTTTTGATGCCTGTATACATTGCAAAATGATCACTACAACCCAGCCCAGCTAATTAACATCTTATCGCTTCTTCACATTTCCCATCTGTGAGTGTTGTATGTATGTGTGAGGGAATGAGATGAACTTAAAATGTCTCCTCCTGGCAAATTTCATGGGAACAATACAGTACTGTTACTCTTGTCACCAGGCTGTACAGTCATCTCTAGACTTTATTTATCTTGCATAACAGGAACTTTCTGCCCTTTGACCAACGCCACCTTATGTGCCCCTTCTTAGCCCCTGGCAACCATCATGCTACTTTCCGCCTCGATGGGTGTGACTCTTACATTTCACATGTAAGTGAGATCACGCAGTATTTCTCTTTCTGTGTCTGGTTTATTTTGTTTAGTATAATGTCCTCCAGTTCTACTTATGCTGTGGAAAATGGCAGGATTTCTTTCCTTATTTTAAGTCTGGAGAATATTCCGTTATAGGTGTGGACCACATTTTCTTCATCCATCGATATCCTGATGGACATTAGGTAGTTTCCGTATTTTGGCTAATGTGACTCACGCTGCAGTTAATGTGAGAGTGCAGGTATCTCTTTGTGATCCTGATTTCAATTCCTTTGGATGTAAACCCAGAGGTGGGATTGCTGGATCATATGATAATTGTACTTTTCTTAGGAACTCCTATACTGTTTTCCATATAGCTATGTCAACTTACCTTCCCACCAACAGTGTGCAAAAGTTCTTCTTTTCCTGCCTCCTTGCCAACACTTATCATTTGCCTTTTTGATAATAACTATCATAACAGGTGTGAGGTGCTGTCTCACTGTGGTTTTGATTTGCATTTCCCTGATGATTAAGTGTTAAGTACCTTTTTATATACCTGTCTGACATTTGAATTTCTTCTTTTGAGAAATGTCTATTTAAGTTTTCGTGCACTTTAATCTAAACTGCTTAAATTGAACAAAGATAGCTCTTTGTTAATGTATAGAAATGCCATCGATGTTTGTATTTTGACTTTGTATCCCGCAAGTTTACTGAATTTGTTAGTTTTAACAGTGTGTTTGTCTCTCTCTCTCTGTGTATTTGTGTGTGTGTGGCTTTAGGATTTTCTACGTATAAGATTATGCTATTTGCAAACAGAGATCATTTTACTTTTTTCTTTTTGATTAAATGCCTTTTCTTTTCTTTTTTTCTTGTCTGATTTCTCTGGCTAGAACTTCTCGTGCTATGTAAAATAGCAGTGGGAAGAATGGGCATCCTTGCCTTGTTCTAGATCCTAGAGAAAAAGCTTTCAGCTTTACCCCGTTAAATACGATGTTAGTTGGGGATTTTGTGGTAAGTTCTTTCTATACCTATTTTGTTGAGGGCCTTTTTTTTTTTTAATTATTAAAAGACCTTGAATTTTGTCAACTGCTTTTCCTGCATCTATTGAGATGATCATGTGTTTTTTTCTTTCATTCTGTTAATGCAATGTATCCCACTGATTAATCTTCATGTGTTGAACCACCCTTGCATCCCAGTGATAAATACCACTGGGTGGTGGTGTCTCCACGGATTCTTTTAATATGCTCTGAAATTGTTTGCTAGAATTTATTGAGATTTGTGTATCTACGTTCCTCAGGAACATTGGCCTATAGTTTTCTTTTTGTGCGTTATCTTTTTCTGGCTTTGGTAAAAGAATAATGCTGGCCTCATACAATGAGTTTGTACGTGTTCCCTTTTCTATTTTCCGAAAGAGTGTAAGGTTTGGTATTTGTTCTTCTTTGGCTGTCTGGTAGAATTTACCAGTAATCCACCTGGTCCTGGGCTTCTCTTTGTTGAAAGCTTTCTGACTGCTGATTTTCTTTTCTTCATTTGTTGTTTGTCTGTTCAGGCTTTGTATTTTATCTTGACTCAGGTTCTTTTAAGTTGTACATTTCTGGGATATTTTCATTTCTTCTAGGTTATCCAATTTCTTTGCATATAATTGTTCATACCAGCCCCTTACTATCCTTTTCATTTCTATGCCCTCTGTTGTAAGGTTGTCTTTCTCGTTTCTGATTGTATTTATTTGTGTTTTCTTCCTTTTCTTAAAAGGTTTGTTGATTTTGTTTCTTTTCAAAACGCCAACTCTTACTTTCAACGATTTCTTCCCCATTGTTTTTCGATTCTCTCTCTTTTTTAAAATGTATTTTGCTTTTGAAGTCTTATGCTCTACTTTAAACAGCTTACTAAAGTCATTTTACTATTAACAAATACAAGGTTCTCTCAAAAACTCCCATGGGGAATAAAAACATTCTCCATCTCACTACCAGAAAACAAAGTTATTCACAATTTACCTTAAGTCTGTAACAATGGATCTTACTGTGCCTTATTTATTTTAGGAAGCCATCAGCAGCTATAGTTTCATTTTGCTCTTTTATTTTAAAAAAGTTAAAAGAAAAAGGTTACTACTGGAGTTAAGCTCAACTTAAATTCAGGTTTTTTTCCTTGAGTGAGTGATGCAGCAAATTAGAAACCAAACTGTACAGAAATTGCTTTTGTCAAATGTACTAATATGACATGCAATTTAAAATGAGCTTCATGTGTCTTACGTAATAAATTTGTGAAATGTGCATGGATCAAGAATAATTTCATTTTATCTTTTACTTAAATTATGTGCTGTTTCTGTGTGTGTAGGGATATCTTTTAATTTCAAAAATTTCATTTATTAATATCACATTATTTTTATTAGTATTATACTTTTACCAAAGCAAAACTTAATTAGTATCTTGTAATTTTATTAACATGTTACACAGAACATTTTTAATTTTACATATTACTTGTTTGTATTATTGCAATCTATTATCTCCATTTGGGAGCCACTAATGGTTTGCATTTGAGTAAAGATAATATTAATTGGGTTACTAATTGCTCGTGATACGATTTCAGAAAGTAAACATTGCTCGGGATCTGGAATATCACATGCCACTCTCATTCTGCCTCATTTCAGATGTGCCACACTTGTTTAGTAGACATGTCTGCTTCTTAGAAAAGGCACAGAGCAATAATTTAAAAATGAAAGTTGGAAAATGTATCTTAAGACCAGTTCTATCTTTTTTCTCTTTCCAAGCTTAATGATCTCAAGAGTCTGCTGAAAGAGATTGCTAATAAAATCAAATAAAACTGTATGAACTCTAATGGAGAAAAATCTAATTATAGCAAGGTGAGTCATTCTAATGGCTTTTTACTTTGCTCTGAAAATGTGCATGTTTTAAGACTAATTTAAAATCATGATTTTTCTCTGGGTTATTTTATTTCCATATATTACCAAATTTGAAAATAATGTATTGTGAAAAAAAAAAGCAATACAGAATTAGAGAAAGAAACAAGTAGAAGTTCCTCCTCACTTTACTCCCGACACCAGGGGTTAGCATTGCTAGAGGCAGGGTATAAGTATCCTGTCCTGTAGGACCTTTTAAAACACTTGCAGTCTATGAAGCTATTTTGACATAAATTGAAACAAGGTCACACTGTTCCAAGATCTGCTATTTTTTAATCTTCCTTAATTCTGTATCATGGATGCATTTATAGATCAGCACCCAAAAACGTCTTATTCTCATAATATTATATTTATTACTACGGATATACAAATATGTTAATCGTCTTTTTACTAACAAAAAATGTTTTGGTGAGGCATTTCAGGTTTTTAACAGCAGCTCTTTTGCACAGTAAAAGTGTAATTCAGTTAACTAGCAAAATGTAACCCAAGGCTTTGTTCCCTGGCCTTACCATTTGCTTTTATTATGTTTTCTCATTACTTGCCCAAATCTTCAAACCAAATGTTAAAAATGTTTTTAGGGACATGCCAAGTTAGGAAAAAGCAGCCATAGGCATCCCATTGGATTCGACTTTTTTTTTTTTTTTTTTGAGAAAGCAAATTGCAAGGAATGGAAACACAATGAAGAATTCTCTCCTTTCTCTTTTCTCTCTTCCCTTCCTTCCGTCAGTATTTATTGAGTACCTGCTCCGTGCTCAGAACTGTGCTGGCCCTGGCACTGACCTTATCCACTGACCACTGTGTATGCATTAAGTACTTAAGCTGCAGAATTGCTTTTCATGGGGTGATTGTGCTGGAGGGGAAATCATGTTGCATCAGGTTTCTTTCAGTCTTGCTGGTCTCAGAGTTCATTTCCTTGGTTTCTGACAGTTATAGCTCATATTAAAAAGCACTGTACTTTAGAGGGCTCTGTTAAAGACTGATGCACATTCAATGTCATCTGAAAGGGAGGTACAGCTTCCTGCTGTTCTCAAGGAAATAAGCCTTCTATATTAAAGAACTTACTTCAACTCTTTCGTAATAGTGTTTAATGAAAACACTATTAAACCTTATAATAAATTACGATTTAGATTTTGAAACACATGCCATTTTGTTTAATTTATCAGCTGAAATATAGAAAAAAAACTAACCGGGAACAGATAAAACAACTAAAATGGTACAAATCTAAAAGTGATTAAGAGCTGTAATAATCAGAAAAGAGTCAGATTCAAATGTGGACATCCCCCTCTTACATCTCCAGTCTTCTCGCCTTCATTCTTTCTCAGGTGTGCTGACTGTGAATAAAATGGGCAGACAGAGAGATTTTCTATCAACTTGCCCTTTGTTTAACCTTAAACTTTCATTAACATATTGAGAAGTAAGTAATTGATGAATGAAAAGGAACGAAGAGAAGTACGTGTGTGTGTGCGCGCGTGCGCGCACACGCGCACGTTTGGGTATAGATATTTGCATCTACAAAGAAAAAAGAGAAGCAAAAGAGCCCATGAGAAAACAGTTGCCCCCAGAATTCAGAACCACTGGTAGCCTTAGAGACTACAAATTTGGCATTTCCAATTTTTCGTATGCTTTTTACTTCTAGATATAAGATCTTTTTTTGAAAGTTGTGTTTGTTATATCTTTAAGAACGTCACTGAAAAGATAACTTAATAGACAGCCAGCTAGGTATACTCTGTCTGTGCCTTCTTAGGCTTCTTTCTCTAGAGGGGTGAGGATAATCTTTCCCTGGGGTAGTGGCCAGGGAAGAGAGTGTCAGCCTCTTGTGGGAGTGAGCTGGCAACCATTGAGGTCGGCAGGGAGCTGATCCTGGGAGCAAGTCTTCACCGATTCTCCATCTCCATCTCCATCCCTGAATCAACCTTTGATCCAGGAACCTGGGATGAAATAAACAGATAATCATCTATTTTTTTCCTTCTCCTACACCAAAATTGAAAGGTAATAAGAATCCAGGGTAAGAGCAAGCCATATGTTTTCTCCTATCTTTATACTTAAGGATTGGGCATCCTCCCTGAGGACGATGGGAATAGACCTTACCTTAAGGAAGGTCCCTGAAATTTGTTCATTTCCTGCATAATAATCCATTGATTCTGCATTTGCTGCCCTTATGTTCTAGTTCATTAAAAGAACGTAGGTTGTTTTTGGGGAATCATAAACCCACATTTTTATAAGTTACTTTGGTTTTTAATTCTTTTTTTTTAAAATTTATGCGGAAACCACCAAGGAAATAAAATGCTCAGAAACGGTCTGGGTTTTAACCTAGACTAAATGAGTTGAGCCTTGATCATTCAATCTTAGTCATGCATCTCACACTGGCAAACTGGTCAGAACACACATCTTTAAGAGAAAAAACATTCTCAGAGCTGCTTCTGTACCAAAAGAAAAAATACTCTCAACTTTGGTGGTATAGTTGGACTTATTCCCAGTATATTTTGAAGCAAACCATATCCTGCCTGAGAATGGAAGTGGGAAATCTATTCTTAAATAGTGTTCTTTCTTTGTTTTCACAGATCATATTAAAGAATGCTGATGAATAATTTTGCTATCGACTACTAAATGAGAAATTTTCAGGTCCCTGGGTACATGGTGGATGATTTTTAATCACCCTAGTGTGCTGAAACCTTGAGAATAAAGTGTGTGATCTGTTTCACATGTGAAGACGGATATAAAGGAAGAACATTTCCTTCATGCGTTTCTGCAGAATGGTGCCTGTTTCTCTCTGTGTCTCAATGCCTGGGACTGGAGGTTGATAGCTTAAGTCTGTTCTTGCCGCCTCCTTTTTCCTTCAGTCTTATTTTTGATGAACGCATATTATAAGAGAACATCTCCCTGTGAATAAGAACCTGGTCACGCTTCACTCCTGAATTGTTTTGTTTATTTCCATTTGATTCTCTGCTTTTCCCTTTTTTTGTATTATGTGACTAGTTAGTTGGCATATTGTTAAAAGTCTCCAAAATTAGGCCAGATTCTAAAACATGCTGTAGCAAGAGGACACTACTCTCTTCAGGAGAAGTGTTTTCATTTCTCAGGATGCTTCTTACCTGTCAGAGGAGATGACAAGGCAGTCTCCTGCTCTCTTGGACTCACCAGGCTCCTACTGAAGAACCATCTCCATTCCTAAATATGTAAAAAGTCTCCCAAAATGCAACCTTAAAAGACACTACCGACTTAGTTCTCGTTGGATACTCCCCTTTCTCCTCTTGTTTATTATTTTTTCCATTAAAAAAATAGCTGCGATTATAGGAAATTTAGACCACTTAGAGATGTAGAAAGAATATAAATTGTCTCCCACTTCCTGAAGGTAATCACTGCTAACAATTTCTGGATGTTTTTTCAAGTCTATGTTTTTCTATGCATGTGTCAATTCTCTTTTAAAATTTTACAGAATGTCATCATACCACATATATGCTTTTATGTAAGCCTTTTCACTTAATATTTTATCAAAGATGTTTTTAGTATATTCATAGCCTCCTTAAACTTATGTCGATAATTGCATAATATGTAACCTCCAGTGATTTCCATAATTTTGCTCATTGAAGGGCTGTTTCCAACTGATCATTGGGATGAGCATCTTTGTGCATGAATCTTTTTGCTGTATTTGGGAAAATTTTCCCAGGTTAGATTCCAAGAAATATCTATTTATTATTAAACCATTTATAAGGTTTTCTTTCATAAATGTATAGCAAATAGAAATCATTAACGTTAGCATAAGATATGAGATACATGAAGCTAAACTATTAAAATAAAAGATTATATTTAACCCTTAGTTTAAGAAGAAGTCAATATACTTATTCAACTATTATGGATGGTGGGCAGATCACTTGAGGTCAGGAGTTCGAGACCAGCCTGGCCAACATGGCGAAACCACATCTCTACTACAAAAAATAGCTGGGTGGTCACGGTGCACTCCTGCAATCCCAGCTACTCAGAAGGCTGAGGCACAAGAATCGCTTGACCCCGGGAGGCAGAGGTTGCAGTGAACCGAGATTGCACCACTGCACTCCAGCCTGGGGGGCAGAATGAGACTCCGACTAAAAATAAATAAGTAAATAAATATTATGGGTGGTGAAGGCAACAGTATAGAATTGGAGGGATATCTTACTGAACACTCAGTTCCAGCTTTCTCTGGAAGTGGTGGCATTTGAGCAGGATGCATGTATGCAAGGCAATTTAAATGCCCATAATTAGTTTTTAGCTTTGAATATACTATCAGCTCAGTGACTGAAGGAGGAAATTTTAGAGGGAAGCTACTAAAAGATCTAATTAGAAAAACTATAAAAGCATTAACTTAAAAAAATTGATTTTCCTTTTGTCTGTGCAGTAGTGAAAATGGGTACAACATTCACAATGTTTACAGGGCATTAACCCAAATAAAGATGCCTTTTTACCTAAGCTCCAATAATGACCTAAAGGGAACTTTTTCATCAGGCCAAACAATTCATGGTTCCAGATGCTGACAGTGGATGGGCAAAATTTACATGACAAAAATCATCAATGAATGAAATATTCAAAATTTCTCTATTAGTGAGAGAATGCCACTTTCACTTCACCATGGCAACTAAAATGTCTGCCTTTTCTGAAGCCAGAAGAGGGTAATGTCATCTCCGTACTGCCTGGAACAAAGAAAGTCTTTGGCTGTACATAAGACTGGGCGGGAACAACAGCTTCAGCCTCTTACTCTCAATTCAAGTAGGAAATTTGAATAAAACCAGTAAATTGAATTTAAAACTTCCCAGAAGACATATTTAGCATAACCTATTTGATGATCCCCTTTGAATGAATTTGTCCTTAAA